AGGACAAGTTGAAGGTGCACATGCGGAAGCACACAGGCGAGAAGCCGTACCTGTGCCAGCAGTGCGGCGCGGCTTTCGCGCACAACTACGACCTGAAGAACCACATGCGGGTGCACACGGGGCTGCGGCCCTACCAGTGCGACAGCTGCTGCAAGACCTTCGTGCGCTCCGACCACCTGCACAGACACCTCAAGAAAGACGGCTGCAACGGGGTTCCCTCGCGCCGGGGCCGCAAGCCCCGCGTGCGGGGTGTGCCCCCCGATGTCCCTGCTGGGGCCTCTGCGCCCCCCGGGCTCCCTGACACCCCGCGCAATGGCCAGGAGAAGCACTTTAAGGACGAGGATGAGGACGAGGACGAGGCCAGCCCCGACGGCTCGGGCCGCCTGAATGTAGCAGGCAGCGGCGGCGGTGATGGTGCAGGTGGCCCTGCCGTGGCCGCTGCAGAGGGTAACTTTGCAACCTGACTTGCATTCAAAACAAACCAAAACCAAAACAAACTAAGAGAGAAGAGAGAAAAACCACACCCACCCTAGCACCACAGCTGTCTGTCCAGACGCTCCATCCACCCACGCGCGGACCTGTGTGCGTGTATATATCCATGGCCGTTGTGGGCACGCCTGCCTTTCACAGATTAGGACGTGGCCGCACCCGCTCCCGCGCCCCTCGCCCCTGTCCGCGTGGGGTCCCACCCCGTTGGCCTCCCTGCCTGCTCCTGGCTAAGGTGAGGGTGATGGGAACCCCCAGGACAGGCGCCCGGCTCCTTGCTGGTTGGTTTTAGGGGTCTCAGACAGACCTTAAATGCTTTCTGTCCACTGTGAGTGGACGTTAAAATTGTCCCCAGCTCCCCACCCTCCTTCCTCAGGGCACTTACTAAAGAGGGGGGTGTCCCCTCGGCCTCCCTGCTCCCGTCCCGCCTATGGCCTCGCACCTCTGCACACCCCCACCCTGGCCACCACTGACATACAAGTCTATTTATTCCCAAGCCTGGGTGGCCGGAGCTGGGATTTGGGGGGCCGCCGGGGTCCCGCCACCTTCTTTCACGGCACTTACACCTGGCGGGGTCCTCGGGGCCACTGCTCAGGGCGACCCCCCCGACCCTCCTGTCTCCGCTAGCCTGACCCCACCCCATGTTCAGAGATTGAAAATTTGTCTTCACCCTGCGCCCCACTTTTTAAAGCACTTTTTAGATCTATTTCCCCTTTTCCTCCTTAAAGACAGTTTATATAGAGATATATATAGAGAGATATATATAAAATATTCTTTTCCTCAGAGGAGCCGGCAGCAGGCAGCAGTTTTGGGGGGACATAGCCAAGATCAGAGGGAACCCCAGGGACTCAGGCAGGGACAGGGGAGGGGGCAAGAGAGGCCACAGCTTAATGCCACAAAACAGCAATAAAACCCCAGGATTTTACTAAATACGAAGGGAAAACAAAAACTTAAAAATCAGCTAAAGCGGTGACAGCCATGTGGGGATCTTGGCACTTTGTAACTGAACGGGTACTTTTCATTCTTAACTTAAGAAAATGTTTACAAGTTGCGCCCAGCTTCTATGAAAAATTGGAGAGAGAGCGAGAGAGAGAGCGAGAGAGAGAGCAAGCAGTGGAAAGTAACTAAGTCAATTTATTTTTGTATAAAATAAAGAAACCCAACCCATTGCTCCGGCAGAATCCACGTGTGTTCCCGAGGCTCAGGGCGGGGAGGCCAGGACGCCGCGGGAAGGGACCCAGGGTCCCCAAGTCTGCCAGGCCACCCTTCCCCAACCCAGCTGATTTTCTCTTGTCTCTGTTGGAGACCACAGGCCTGGGAGCCAGGGCCACTGTCCCCTTCGGCTCGCCAATTTGCCTCCCAGCTCAGGGATGTCCCCGAGAGAGAAAGAGAGAGGGCTGGTCCCTGGCCAGCCAGACCCCACGACTCCTGCCCGGCCCCCCTTCCTGTGTGTAGTACCTCCTAGGCACCCCCTTTTTACTCAAAGGCACTGACTGTAACCCAGGGGCCGGCACCTGACCCCCACGCCCCAAACTCCGGCTCCCCCCCAAAGGCCCGGTGTGACCGAGCCACAGGCCACGGACAGGGGCCGGGGTTGGGGACGATGCTGCCGGGTGCCGGCACGGGTGGAGGTGCCCCGTGTGTCTATTGACAAATGTCTTGTTCTTTGGCTTTAAAGGGAAGCTCGATAAGAAGGCCGCTTTCCAGTCTCTAACAGAGGTTTTCCTTCTCATCCCCTCCCCTCCCAAATGTCTCAGGATCCCCCCTTGGGGCCAGCAGAAGGGGCAGGCCCAGGGGCGGGGTGGTGCTGGCCTCCCTTGCACCCCACTACCATTGTGAGCTGTCCCGGGAACCGGGCTGTGGCCAAGCAGGGCCCAGCAGCCCCCATTGCTCCCCCCTCGCAATAAAACCAACCTTTAATCACATGTCATCCTGGCCAGTGGCCACCAGACTTGGGGCGGGTGGAGCCCTTGGGGACTGTGGTGGGGGGTGCCCCATAGCCCGCCAGCGACAACGCAAACCCCCTTGGGAATTGCACTAAACCCTTGCCCCCAGCTCCGCGCTCAGCTTCTGCCCACCCACACCCACCTTGCCTTAACCGCCAGCCCGTCCTGGGGGGCCGCAGCCACCGCATGGGCCCATTGCCGGGACAACCCCCAAGGCCCGCCCCCTGCTCCCCATATTGCAATCACATACTGTATATAGAATGTGGATCGATTTTTACAAATTTTTATTTAAATTAAGGCCGTGATAAAAGTTGCCAAAGAGAATTGTGGAATTCACTAGAGGTTTGAGCGGAGGGTGCTGTAGAGAGAGAGGTTTTTGTTTGGTTGTTTGGGGGTTTATTTGTGTGTGTGTGCTCTTTTTTTTTTTTTTTCTTTTTTTTCTTTTTAAATGCCTGGTACCAACGACAAAAAGAAAAAATCGGAAAAAAGATAACAAATTTATTACTTCTATTATGGTGAATTCCCGTGTGTTTGAGTGAGAGAGAGAGAGAGAGAGAGAGGGCCCAGCCTGGGGGGTTCCGGGGACCCCAGGACTGGGGAGGGGACTGGCCTGCAGCTGTCCCCAGCCTGTGACCTGAGATAGGCCACGCCTGCTGAGTAGTTGCTGCTCTTTGCCTTCCTACCCCACTGGCCTTTTGAGATTAAGAAAAAAATAAAATAAAAAGGCAAAAAAATAATAAAAATGAAAAAAAAATCTATATATATCTACATATATATATAGAAACCAATGAATGTAGACAACAGACCTGGCCCAGCCATGGCCCCGCCAAGCTGGGCTCGAGTGGGCGGAACCAAAGCAGGTGCGCTGAGGGTCATTCAGGAGGACCCCTTCCTCCAGCGGCTACCACCCTGTCACCCTGTCTGAGCACAGCTGACCTTCCTCGGGTGCTCCCGTGGGTCCTCTGGGTGGGTGACCAGGGGATGCTTCTGTTGAGGCAGCGCAGGTAAGCCTCAGGCTGACTGTTCAGGGACTCCTGGGTGTGCAGAGTGCAAATGGGGATTGTAAAGGGGGACACAGGCTGAAAGGAAAAATAGAAAAAAACAAAAAAAGACAAAAACCGACAAAAAAATAAAAGAGAGCAAAATCCTATTTTTTGAGAAAGAAAGATATTTATATTTGCAGTTTTATTTTAAAAAGTTATTTAAGCTGAGGAAACAGCCTTCCCGGAGTTCGGGGTGGCTGGCACCGGACGGGTCAGGGGTCTTGGGGGGCTCCTCACCCCAGGAATGATTATCTCAGTTCAGAACTAGCTCGCACTAAATATTGACTTATATTGGTGGGGGGCACGGGGTTCAGGAAGACAGAGGGCCAGGGGAACCCCACCCCAGGTCCAGAATGAGGTGCCTTGGATTTTTTTGGGGCCCAGGCCTGGTGTATAGAGGTCCGGAGCACAGAACAGACATTCCACTGACTGGATGTAAAAATCTTTATAAAATAAAGTGGGGGAGGCAGAACGAAAACAAATCAACTGATTTAAAAAAAAATGCACTTTTTGGGGGTGGGGGGGACAAGATTTAAAAGTAATAAAAAACATACAAACAAAAGATTATGAAAAATTCCGAAAAAATAGAACTCATTTTTCTTGTACATAAAAGAAAAACCCAACCACTAAATGCAGCCTGTTACGACGCCTCCTTGCCTGGTCTCTGTGTTCTGTCTTGTTTTTTTGGGGTGGGGTGGGGGAGAGTGCCTGGGAGACACCCAGTATCTGCTCAGTTTCACATGCCCTGTGGGTGGGGCCTGACAGAGGGACCAAGGGGGTCCCAGGGTGGGTGTTAGGTTTTTCCAGGCAAAGGTGGTGACCTATGGGCCACCTGGGCTGGTGACCTCAAAATCCTGGGTGTTTCAGGCCCTGGGTCGCCTGTGCCAGAACAATAGGAAGCCCCCAAGTTGCTGTCCCCAGCTGGTCTCCAGTGACCTTATCGGGCCTCGGGGGGCCGGAAACCTCAGCTGGCTGTGGACAACTTCCTGTCCCCAGGAGGAAGTGGGAACTGGGGCCCTATCATTAGGGAAAGGGGATGGGGTAGGCATGGGGTCCTCCCACGGGCTGTATCCAGAGCAGTGGAGCCGTGGATGGGTCCTGGGTGTTGGGAACCCACCAAGTCTGAGTTCTGCATCCCGGACGTACCTGCCCACCGAGTGACTGCCGCTTGTGTTGTGGGGCTGTCTGCCAGACTGCTCCAGGCCCTCCATTCCCAGGTCATATGAACCATGGATGCTCCTTGGGCTCTCCGGTCCACCAGCCTCATCCACTTGAGAGGTCACAGCACATGGGTCTCACTGAGCACAAAGTCTTCACTCCCTGCACTCTGGGTGTGTGTCTGAGCCTTGCTCCTGTTCAGTGTTTCTACACATTTTGTAGACAGAGTCTCACCCAGAGATCCGCCCATATTTAACCTTCTGAGGGGTTTCCTGGTGACATTATCTAACAAGCCCATCCAGCCTTTAGCTCAGGGGAGGACAGGCAGGTTACAAAGAAACAAACCACACACCACGACTGGCTACTCTTGGTTCTTTTTTTTTTTAAATTTTATTTGCATTTTTAAAAAACAATTAAATTAGAATACAAATATTAGAAAAGAGTGCCGCGCGGCTGGCCAGGGCCCCTGGCCTCCCGGCGAGTTCATGCGGTGACACCGCCAGGCCATCCGCTCTGGACCAGACCCGGTATTGCTTCCTGACAGAGTCGGGTGGGGAGGGCGACGGGCGGTGGAAGAGCGACCCTCCCGCGGGCAGGGAGGCAGCTGAGGTGCCCGAGCCCATGGCTGGGCTGCCCCGTGGGGAAGTGAACCTGAATGAATTGGAGTTACCGAGGTAGCTGGCTAGAAAATGACACCCCCCCACGCCACGCGGGTCCGCGACACCACGTTATTGCACATTGTGGCTGCTGTCCCCGGCCCGCCGCCCCACCATGGCTTCTCAACTAAACACGCTCACGGCCAGGCCAGCGCTCCAGGCTCGGCCTCAATGCAGGAAAAGCAGAACAGCCACGCGCGGCCATCCCCTGTCCAGTGTCCGTGATCCCTCCTGTGCCCCGCGGGGCCTGCTCTGGGAGGTGGCCCGTGGGCTGCCGGCCTGTGTTAAGTGTTGATTTGCTCTTGTTTTTTCTCATTTTGTACTTTTCTCATTTTTTGTCATTTACTGTTTTGTTTTTTTTTTTTTTTTAATCCCCCCAAGAGGAGAGTCCAGAGATACGGGAGCCAGGGAGGGGTGGGCAGGGGAGGCCGGCGCGTCAGCAGGCGGGCACCAGACCCTTTTGGAATGGGCAGCGGCGCTTCGGCCGGGGGCCCTCCTCGTCCTCCTCGTCATCCTCGTCATCGTCCTCCTCGTCCTCCTCGGAAGACGAGCTGTCCAGTGTGAGGTCCACCACATCGGCGCCAGGCTTCCCGTTCTCTGGACCGCCTGCCACCCCTGCCCCGCTGCCCGCACTGCCCAGTGCGTTGCTCATGCTGCCCCCCACGCCAGGGGTGCTGGAGGCCTGCGGGAGCCCGTTGGCGTCCGAGGTGCCTGCGGGGGCAAGGACAGTGCTCAGCTGCGGGCCAGGCTGGCTGGCACACACAGGGGCGGTGTGTGGGCACTCACCAAGTACCACGATAGGTCCTTGTGGGCTGCAGCTCGGCTCCTTTTCCGCACGGATTGGGCGCCAGGAGCCTTCGGCCAGGAACTCAATCTCGTCTGCATCCTCACACTCACTCAGGATCTTCGACAGCAGCCTTGGGGGCAGCAGAGTGGACAGGGTGGGCTTGGGCAAACTCAGCTGCCCGTGCCAGAATAACCCCTACACCTCCTCTGGGGGCCTGCCGTCTGCTAACTTCCCACGGCCTAGGGCTGGGGTCACGAAAGGAGCGGCCTTGTTGGCTACCAACCCAGCCTTCCTCCAGACAGCCCCTCTACACTGGGGTGGTGGCACAGGGCTCCACCAAGGGCAGAGACACCTGCTGAGTCTGCTAGAGCCCTGGGCGAGGGACGGCCTGGGTCGAGAGCACAGCTGGGCAAGAACAGAAGGCCATTGAATCCAGTCCACATGCCCAGTCCGGGTGGCACCCACACTACCCAGTGCCAGAGCTCGTCAGGGCAGCAAGGGACCTGGCAAAGCCCAGCACCGCAAGCTGAAGGAATTGGGCTGGGAGCAGCCTCAGTTTCCTTCCTGGGAGCATGGCAGGTTAAATGCTGACCTGGGACTCCCCAGGGTCTGCTGGGGATACACTCAAGTCTCTCAGCCAAGCCCAAGGACAGGCAGAAGCACCTAAGGTCCCAGGCAAGAAGTTCTGAGGGCCTCGGCCGCCTGTGGTGGCTCTGGGGATACAGAGCGGCAGCTGGCGCCTGGCAGGAGCCTCAGGTACCACAGACAGCAGACGCAGTGTCTGGAGTAGAGAGCTGAGCTGTCCCAAGGGGAAGCATGACCCCCCTCCCTTTCTGCTGTGGGACAGACTCCTGCCAGGCAGTCAGGACTGCAAGTGGCCACTAGCAAAGACTGAGGTCACAGGATCACAGGCACAGGGGACTCCAGGCAGAGCGAAACTAAGATACAATGACCACCTCCACAACAAAGGCTCCAACAAGTCCTACGAGCCAGGCCACAGGCCCCACTATCCTACTGGAGTCTCCAGTGCGCAGAGCCCGTCAGACTCACCCGTCTATGATCAGCTGGTCGTAGGCGGCAGGCTTGTCACACACAGGGCACATCCACGTGGGTTTCTTCTCGTTCATCTGCAGGTAGAAGACCGCGTCGAAGCACTGCAGGTGTGCACAGGTCTCTGCACGGCAGGGGACTGACAACCGCATCTTCACCAGCTGTCAGGGAAAGGGCAGGCTGTGAGGACACTGTCCCACAGAGACCAACCACCCGTGTGTGGGGACAGACGGGGACTCACCGGGCAGATGAGGGACACTCGCACTCCAGTAGTGGCGATCTCACTGTCGGGGTCCAGGCGAAGCTTCTCCTTGACTGTGAGGTGACAGAGGGGACTGGGCGTCAGAGGGTGGGGTCTCTCCACAGCTGAAGGAGACTGTAGACTCATGTAGGCTAAGGCTGGCCTCCACATCTCCCTGAAGCCTGATCCTTCTGTCACCAGTTCCCGAGCACCAGCCCACCAACCCTGCTCACTCCACATAGGGACCCCGTGGGCGCCCTGCAGACCTGCAGGGTGTTTCTGCAAAGTCCCAGGCAGCACAACCTGCCCAGAGGCGGTAGAGAGGCTAATGCCCTGCCGCCTGCAGGAGTCAGCTGTGAGCAGCATGGAGACTATTTAACTCAGGCCATGCAGCTCCGCGACACTGACCAGCCTCAGCCCACCTGTGAGTGCTGTCCCACCCTGACTACCAAAGAATAAAGTCGGTGGCCTTGGTCTGCAAAGCATGCCTTCAACTCTCCAGGTATAAGCAACCTCCAGGGGGCCTGGGCCACATCCTCCTGGTCAGGAGTCTTGGTCTCCAAGATGCCATCACATCACAGGAACATGGTGGCCAGACCCCAGCACGGTCAACCCCAGCTTGGAGGGGTTACAACAGGCCTGGATGCCTCCGAGGTGGCTTAGACCTGTCCTGCAGAGAAATGGCCACTGGCAATATTCAGGGTCACTGAGGCCCTATCAGCCAAGTGTGGGTGAGCACTGTGGGCTGCTGCCGCAGGAATTCTATCTTTCACAACCACACCTTTAATCCCCACACTCCTTTTAGTGGCCACACGCCTTTAATCCCAGGAGGCAGGGGCAGGCGGATCTCTGTGAGATCAAAGCCAGTGCGAGTTCCTGGACAGCCAGGGCTCCACAGAGAAACCCTGTCTCAGCAAACTAAGCACCATCACAAGTACCCTGGCCTTGCATCTCTGGTTGTCACCTTCCCCCCAGACTGCCCAGCTGCCCTTGCTCTCAAACTTGTCTAAGTCAGGAGGCCTGAGCTCACAGACTGGACCCTGAAACCCCCACATCCAGATCCAGAACCCCAACCGCAGGTTGTCCCTCAGCCACCCTTGCACACACCATGGGTGCTGCACACCCTGGAACAGAGCAGGTCCCACCGGGCACAGCCAGGCCCTGGGCCCCAGCTGCTCACCCAGTGCCTTGCAGAGTTCTGGATGCTTCACACCGATCGTCTTCAACCTCTGCAGCAGGTCTGAGGAGGTCAGCTGCCGCACCAGGTACAAGGCTACGGAGTAGCTCTGTGGACAGAGCGTCTGCAGCATCAGGGTGCTGAACGCAGGGTGGATGGGGTCAATGTGGGATGGACAGGGTGAACATGGGGCAGTGGGGCGCTGGGCACAGGGTGCTCACCTTGCCATAGTTGCCCCAGGTGACAGTGATGCGGTTGGTGGCTGAGGACAGATACATGAGGTGGGTGAGGTTGATGGGTCGACAGGGCCGCTTGGGTTCCACACCAGGCTTGTTGGAGGGGTAGTAGCCCTGTGAACAGAAATGTGCTCAACCCCACCAGGTCCCCACCCTACCCTGCGTCCATGTCACCCCGCCCCCACGCTGCTGCCGGCTCACTCACCGGCACTGAGCAGTAGCTATGGTTAACCTTGACAGCGATGTTTGGTGGGTACTGATCTTCCTGTGGACAGCTGGTGTCAGAGTAACAGATCCTGGGGAGACAGGGGGACATAGCGGGCTGTGAAGACAAGCAGCAGAGGTCCCAACAATGACAACAGATGGTAGAGGTACAGGGTGGACGGGATGGGGCTGTGTGTGCACAGTGATGGCCACAGGAGAGGCGGGGGCCAGGGCACTGCTCGCATACCTCAGTACCACCTGCACGGCTTTCACTCCAGGCTGTAGCTCTCTGTGGGCAGGGTACAAGGGCACAAGGCAACAGTCAGTGGGCAGCACAGACCACCCTGGAGCCCTCCCCATCATCACCAGGTGAGTAATTGGCAACAGGACAGTAGCGTTCCCGGCCCATGCCAGGAAGAATTTATCATAGGGGTGAGGAAGGAGGCGGGCAGAGGTCCTGCCATACCCCAGTCTGACCTCTGTTCTGCCAAATGGCGTGATGACAGTCACAACCGTAAAGCAGGCAATGGCCAGGACAGCGCAGCTGAGCCTGGCCGCACCCTCAGAAAGTTCATTCATACCCATCTTTCCCAGGGAACCCTGGTTACATCTGGATGAACGTGGCTAGGATCTCCTGGCATGGAGTGATGGGTGCTCATGAGCCTGCGGGGCCCCACATGGCCCAGCACAGGTGGGCACACGACAAAGGAGCTGCTCGTGGTGGACACACCTGGAGTTGCGGATCATCTCCACCTGCCGTGGCGTCAGCGCGAAGATGCACGGGCTCTCCTGCAGCTTCTCTGCGCTCTGTGGGACTGAATGCATGTGGGTCAGGCCGCCTGGCTACAGCTCCCCAGCCACAGGGCAAGAGGCCAACCCTCTCTGCCTGGGACTCAGGGAGCACACTCTGGGCCCTCCCACTCTGGGTCCCTTTAGAAGAGGGCGCCCCAAAGGTAGAAGGGTAGTCACTTATATCCTGAGGCCACCGTGGAGAGACTGCTGGCCTAGTGTGCCCCAGTTCCTTCCCCAGCAGAGGGCTCTGACCATGTGGACACGTGACTCAGCAGTGGCCTGCAGTGGCAGGAGGAGGTAGTTCAGAGCACACGCCAGCCACCCTAATAAACAGTAGGCTGGAGCAGAAGCATCTGGGGTCCAAGGGCAGCTAGCTGCAAGGAGCAGGCCCCAAGTTCCTGTGACGCCCTGTTTACAAGGAGCGCTGACACTGGGTTGGACTGGCCTGAAACCGTCTCAACTAGAGGCTGGGGGACCAGTCACAGTGAGTGTAGGCAGGTTCAGGGCTGGGAGGTGGAGTTGCCCAAGTGAGGGGAGTCACACCTGCTCCGCCCAAGATCGTGGAGAGAGCCCATGGGTCCTTGGGTGGCGGACGGTTGCTGCTGAGCAAACCTATGAAGGACGAGCTGGAGCAATCACCCTAAGGGAGGCTGGGTAGCTTCTGTGGTATAGGGGCGGGCATCAAGCAGGACCCAGGCTGCCAGGTGAGTACACTGCTGGGGTGGGTCCCACACCCTAGCAGTCGGCTGAGGCATGACCCACCACCCTATGCTGTTCCCCAAGCCAGTACCCCTGCCACGGCCGTTGGTCCCCTGGTCCATCAGCCAGGCCCTACAGCTGTAGCCCCTCCAGGTCTGAGACACTGAGGGCAGGGTCTCCTTAGCAGCACCAGCTGGGAACTAAACTCCTCCTTGGTGACCTTACAAACCAGGCGCACCCTTGTCTTAAGGCCTCTGTACCTCCTTGTCCCACCCCCACCTGTCTCTCCCAAGAGAGGGTCTCACTTTATGACCTGGCTGGCCTTGAACGCACACACGCACAGCAGCCTTGCTCCACTGCCCCCCCAGTCAACTACATTCCCTTTCTCTCTGGCCCACTGTAGCATGGAGGTTCACACCAGACACGACACACACTACACATGGACGGCACAAGCACAGACACTCAGGAACCCACAGCCGCCACCCCACCATGCCTGAGGTGGGCGAACACCAGGATCATGAAGGGTCCACAGGGACAGGTGGGGACCAGGACAGGACACTCAGGTTCACATGGCCCCTGCTAGCCTTGTGCACTCCAGGACTGCACAAGTGGAGACCCAAGGCGACCTAGAACCTTTGGGTACCTCTCAGCAGCACGAGAAAGCAACACCACATCACCGGCTTAGGCTTGGATGTTTAACTCGGGCAGCCATAACAGGGCAGCACCGTGGGCTTGAGTGTTCCCTCAGCTGCACGCAGAGCTGGGGCAGCACGGAGACCAGCACTGTGGACAGGGCACCAGTCAGCTCCACTATGCTGCTCACCAGCTTCAAATCAGTGACCAACTGGGTATCAGAGAACAATGGCACACACCTGTTAGTCCAGGCTGGCGAGGTAGAAGCAGACGGATCAGAGGTTCAAGGTCAGTCTTGGCTAACAATTTGGGCCACCTTGGGCTACCAGAGAGAGACCCTGACTCGAAACACAGCACTCACACAAAAAATCATGCAAAAGATGAAGACAAAGGCCGTGTTGGAAGGGAGCCACAGTGAAGGAGAGGCCGTAAGGACAGGGCAAGGCAGGGCATTCAGGGCGGTGGTTTAATTTAATTCCAGCACTCGGGAGGCAGAGGTAGGTGATCTCTGTGAGTTCGAGGCCAGCCTGGTCTTTAAGAACTAGCTCTAGGACAGGCTCCAAAGCTACAGTGAAACCCTGTCTCTAAAATACCAAAAGGACAGGGCAGGCAGTGGGGTGTGACCCTGAGGACAGAGACAGCAACCAAAGGCTTAGGGGTGCAGAGTCACAGTCCTGCAAAGCCCCTTTGTCAGAGGCAAAGAACCTGACAGGCCTTCCCACAGTCAGCAAGTGCTATGGGGTGGCTCTGATCCTAGCAGATCAGGCTAGCAGTGGTTCTTAACCTGTGGGGCATGACCTCTCTAGGGGGTCATTTGACCCTTTCACAGGGGTCACACACACACACACACACACACACACACACACACAAACACATATAAAAAAAAAACCTCACTGGAAACCACCCATCTACATTACAATTTTTAACAGTAGCAAAATTACACTTATGAAATAGCAACAAAGTAACTTCACGGCTGGGGTCACACAACATGAGCGACTGTGTTAAAGGTCCCAGCACGAGGAGGGTTGAGAACCATTGACCTAGAGCATCACAGGTTCCAGGCCAGTCTTGTTAGCCTTGTCTCAAAAACACCATCAACAAACCAAGACAGACAGCATGGCAGCCAGGGAACATGGACCCATGTGGACAGTAAGGGGAAGAAGGAGTAGGGGCTGAAGAGACTGACATCCCAGGGACCTGAGGGTCACAGGTCACCGGCCCTGGCCACCTCCTCAGGTCCAGGCACCATCTCTACACTTCCAACCACAGTGCTTCATTTCAGCCCAGATGCCCAGGACACCCACAGCCGCACAGCCCTGGGGTAGGGGACAGGAGACACAATCCTCCCCATCCAGTCCTGCGCCATCCTCACTTCTGCTGCCCTGGGTCTGCCTGGTCAGGGAGTAGGGGAACAGCAGACAAGGGTGCAGGGCATAACCTGGGGAGCAGGAGCTCAGGTTGCCGTTGTGTCCGCTTTAAACGGGATGTTAGTGCGCCCTGGTCTGCAGCTGGCCTGTGGTCCTCCTCCCTCCCACTCTGGGTGCTCAGGTGATTTATGGGCTCTGTCTGCCCGATGCAGGATGAGCAGGCAGCTTTTCCGAGGAACCCTAAAGGCGCATGGGGCTCATTCTGGCCTGGGCAAGGGGCTGACTACCATGAACTGACTTGTGCTTGGAGGGCCCAGGTCAGGGCGGGGCAGACGTGTGAAGTAACGGTTTTAGAGCTTGAGGGATCAGAGCTCCTGATCCAGCAGCCCCTCAGGGTGTGCGACCCAGGGAAGGGGGTGCCCTAGTGGGGAGGCAGGTGAGGCAGGATGGTCCTCTTTGTTCAAGCTGCTAGGGTAGACAGGGGAGCATGCTCTCCCGGAGATCAGGTGACCAGGGTCCCTGGGGGCTCAGGGCACAGCGTTGCATTGTGGGGCAGAGTGACGGCTGGCTTGCTCTGCAGGAAGGAAGCCCTCCATGCAGGCTGGCAGGCAGGGGGACCAATTCCCTGGCACTTGGGTCATCCTCAAGATGATACCCAGCAGCTTGGCCCCTAGCTGCCAAGGGCTGTGGAGACCTTGGAGAAGGCAGGATTGCAGTACTTGAAGCATGGCAAGAAGGTGGCAAGGCCAGAAGCCAGCTTCAGTGCCATGGGTGCCATGGAGGGTGGAGCCTCAGGTCACAGAAGCAGTCCTCACACAGGTCAAGTGCCACCCTTCCTCAGGCGCTTGCAGCAGTCCCAATTAAACACAGCTCCCCACCAAGTCCTGGGACAAGGGGACACGGCCTTGCTACAGTAGGAAGGGACAACTCAGTGGAAAGAAAGGATCCTGAGAACAGGCCACAGGTATGTGGGGTGAGAGAAGCAACTTCTCATCTTAGAGTCTGCCAAGTACTGGGGACCAACCTCTGGGCTCTAGGCAGGAGAGACAAGGGGGACGGGAGTGTCTCCAGGGACGCTGGCTACCTGAGAAAGCTCCAGGTCCTAGATGTGGGCCCATTAAAAGGCCAGAACCTCCTGCCTATCAGGCCTCCCAGGTGCACAGCTCGGGCAGACCCCACTCTATGCAACAGCAGCGCGGGAGGCCATCTGTGCCCCCACAGACAGGGGTCTGACGGTCGAGGTCGAGGCCACCTGACAACCTAACCTGACAGCTGGGAACACAGCTAGCTCCATTTACATCTGCTTTGCTTGAGATAGGGTCTCAAACTCATAGCTGATTGAGGGTGACCTTGAACTGCTGATCCTTCTGCACCTCCCTCCCAAGTGCTGTGATAACTTGAGTTTGCCACCATGCCCAGTTCTTCCTTTTTTTTATTTTAAAAATCGGACTCTATTTGCCAAGGCTAACCTCAGACTCATGGCTCTCCCCTTGCCTCAGCTGCCTGAGAACTGGGATGAGAGAGACGTGCTGCCGTGCCTTGGTGCTGCTCGGCAGGCTAGTGAATGCTCTGCTCACACAGTACCTACATCCTCAGTCATTGCTGTTCTGCTGTTCTTTAAAAACAGTTTCGCTCTGTAGCCCAGAACTCACAATACTACTGCCTCAGCCCCTAACTGCTGAGATGACCAGTGTGACCTGCCACGCCTTCCTATGGCTGAGCCTACTGTGGGGATCCCCCAGCCGATACCCACCACTCACCTAGCTCGGTGGGCTTCAGCAACTCGTCCAGCATGTTGAAGAAGGGCAGCTTCACCAGGCGCACTTCAGGCTTAAGGGCCTTGGTGGGCAGGCGTCCCAGTCCATTCAAGTACTTCCCGTACAACACGGGGTAGTCCACGGTGGGCCCTGACAGGGGAGTCCTGGGCATGGAGTGCAGAGCCAGGGGGTCCAGGGGCCGTGGCGCCTGTGGGCTGGGATCCACGTTCTTCTTGGCGTAGCGTGTCTCATACAGCTCTTTGATCTTCTTGAAGAGCTCGGGGCTGCAGTCAAACTGCACCAGCTGCAAGGCCCTGGTCACCAGCTCATGCTTCAACCCACTCTTGCTGCGGCCCACAAAGCCCAGAAGCATCTGTAGGTCTGACACTCGGAAGCTCATCACCATGTTCTGTGGAAGGGTGACCACAGCGGCTCTCAGCGGTTGCCCTCTAACCTGCCTGGGCGCCAGCCACCAGAACCCCTCCCTGTCCCTTACAGCCTCCTCTTCTGGTGGGAGGTGTACATGAAACACAAGGACTGCCTGCCCTGGCTACGGCAGGGGCATGGCTGTGTCCTCACCATCTTCCTAAGACAGAACTCCTGCGTAGAGGTGTCAGGCCTGAACCCTGAGGAGCCCTCTTTAACCCCTTCCCACGTGTGCTGACCCAGACTAGGTATGATTTGCTAGTTTGGGGCGAGGCCCCCAGGGCACTGTGGACTTGACCCGGTCTTACAGTGAGGTGTCCTGGACCCTGTACCTGGTCTCCACCCAACCATGCCAGTTCCCCAGGCATCACCCAGGGTGTCCAGGAGCAGGATGGGCCTACATGAGAACAGCTGGTGCCTGAAACCAAGCAGCTGCACAGGTCAGTGACCAAGCTGATGAGACAGTATTAGATGATAGATAGGCCCAGGGACGGATGTATCGGGGTCCCTCGGGTGGGGCCTGCATTCACAACAGCTGACATGAGGGCATAGCAGGCCCTCCAGGTGCAAGGACCAAGCCTCCCTGAGAGACAGCCCAGACAGGCTCTGGGCCTCCTGCGTTAAGTTCTGCTGCTGGATTGAATTCAATGAAAATTGGAGATAGAAAGGGACTTCCCTGAGACTGGTTGATGGCCCAAGTGGCTGGAGGGGACACAGGCAGCTGATTCAGGCCACGAGCCCCAAAGAAGCCTGTAAGACACAGAAAGCACACCTGACCAGCCTAGAGGTCCTAGTCCCAGGAATCCATCACATTGGTACCCACCTGATTACTTGGGGCACATGGCCCTTGGGAGCAAGAGCAGTGTCCTAGAAGGCCCCCAAAGCACCTGGGACTTGAATTGCCAACTACGACAGCATGATGTGAGGCCTCTTGGTACAATGAGCTGGGATGGAGTTTGGCTAGTGGCTACCAGGCTTTAGACTTCTTGCTGGGGAGCCCCAACTCTCCAGGGACTCCAGGGTTTGTGGCCGTTGGGCACCCTCAAAGTAGCCTTGGCTTCTTACCTCATGCAGGGCTGCGCAGCCCACACAGCATGTAGTTGGCACGTTTGTACTAGAACAAGCCCAAACCCTAAAGACCGAGGAGAGGGGTGCCAGAGCCAGGGGGCTTTGTAGATCCGGCGGACATCCAGGAGTCCTGTCACCCATGACGGATGGCAAACATCCCAGCACCCAGGTAGTTGCCATATGGTCTGGGTCGGGTTTCTCAGCAGCTGCTATGCCCCAGCAGCCTGCTAGGGACAGCATGGCACTAGGACAGGACACAGCAAGATGTCTCCATCCATTGCCCAGAGTGCACTTCCCACCCGGCCACTGGCTATCAGGGCTGGGTTTGTAAACAGTGTCAGCCCCATGGCATCTAAAGCTTTCCACTTGGGGCCCAATGAGAGGCAGCAGTCACTAAACCAGGCTCTTAGAAAAGCTGAGACCCCTGGTATGGGGGCAAAGGATGAAGGCAGCCTACAAGCCTGCCACGGGGGACTTCTGATTGGTCCAGTCATCCACAAATGCCATGATTGCCTCCGATAAGCCCCAGTGGACCGCAAAGGACAGAATCTCCAGCCCATGTGACAGATGTAGGAGTCTCCATTACACTCAGTGTTCTCTGAGGGGTTGTGATGGGGTCCCCCTGGACCTGCATTAGTTCAACTGAGGTGGGGTTGGAGGTCCAGAGGGTCCAGTAGAGAGGGACCACACCCCTGCCACTGAGGAAGGAGGTGGGCAAAGAGGCTTGGCCTCCCCGGAATGCTCCAGGATGCTACAAAGGGGGCTTCAAGCAGTAAGACTGTGCCTAGGACCTTCACAGTTCACATGTTCCCATCTAGAGTATCCCAAAAATCTGACTATGTACATAGTGTACATTTTGGGTGAATGAAACGGGGGTTGGGGAGGGATACATTTTTTTTCATTGGAATCTCTAGAATATCCGAAAAGGTCCAAGTGGGAGAGGGAAGAGCCCTGTAGCAAGAGAACCAGGAAAAAAAGGGTACAAGTTGTGACTTTATGGGTGGGAAGACGCCTGAGGGAGGCTGAGGTCCAGCAGGAACTCAGGAGGGACGAGTGTGCTGGGAGACAGGGCAGCACTGGAAGGCAGCGATGCTGAGCCACGCCTCAGGGAGGTTTAATGGGGACTCACCGGGTGGAGGGACAGAGCCCTGGCACCTCAAAGTCCTCCCTTGGACTCAGTTCAGGGATCTGGGGAGCAACACAGGAAAAAAGCGGGTGGTAGGTCGGGTGGGCTCTGTCGGGGAGCACAAACCCCCCGTAAGATGATTCGCCAGGATGTCGAGATTAAAGGTGTAGTACAGTGTGAGGATTACTTGAGAATGTGGTACCCACTGCTAACTGGACCCCCGAAGGCAACCGAGGGGGCTGGGGATCTTCCCAGGAAGACAGGGGACAGCCAGTGTAAGGGAGGGAGGGGCGGTTCTCGGCGACTCGGAGACTCTAAAATGAACACGGGAACTCATAGTTGGACTGAGTCTGGAGTCTTACTCATTCACTAGGGGGAGGTGCCAATGGGGACCCCGACTATCAGAGGACTTGTGGCATTGCCTGCAGACCTTCCCCATGCTGTCCCGCAGGCGAGGAGGGATGCCGGGACCCGGACCTGAGTCCTCCTCGTTGCCTTGGAGACGGGATGGAGAAGTCACTCTCTGCATTCCTTAGGCTTGGGAGACTTACACGGGGACCCCCCCCCCAGGTCTGTCCCAGTGGGGCTGTCCCAAGGAAGGGACAGTGCCTGCACCGGGGAAGCTGCGTCCCCACACTGTAGGGACTTCCAGTTCCGATCGGAAACGGAGTGACAGGAGTCGACGGCGACACTCCGAAGACGGTGCTGGCGACCCCGCCCCCGGTCTCCCCGCCCCCCGCCCGCAGCCTCAGCCCGCGTCCCGGTAGCGCCCCGGCCGCCCCGCACTCCCACA